AATCAATGACTTCCTTCTTCCTGATCTTCTCGTACGCTTGGGCTTCCACCCATTTAGAAAAATAGTCAGTCATAAACAATATAAATTGAGCCTTATCGAGTGCCCATGGAAGGGGGCCAATGATGTCCATTCCCCACTTCATGAACGGCCATGGCGACAAAACCGAATGCAGCAGCTCCCCGGGTTGATGAATCTTCAGAGCTTGTGTTTGGCATTCATCACATTTTCGAACGAACTCCTTTGTGTCTTTTTCCATGTCGATCCAATAGTAACCGTCTCTGACTATTTTTTGAACCAGCGATTCGGCGCCCGAGTGATTTCCACAGGTACCTTCGTGGATTTCCCTCAAAATGTACTCAGTATCCCCAGGCCTTAGACATATTGCAATTGGGCCATCGAATGTTCTTCTGAACATGGTTCTATCTTCGGACAGGCTAAATCGAGCTGCCTTTGTACACATGGCCCTCGATTCTTTTGGATCCTAGGGTAGTTTGCCGGTCCTGAGATATTCCACGTACTTATTCCTCTAGTATCAAGTTAGGCTCGTTGGGTTGATCTCGGTGTGGCCTTCTTCCACCACCGATCTCATAATCTGTACGACTTCTTCCGAGTTAAACTCCCCGTCGTCGACCGACGATCCCAGGTTAGCGAAGGCATCGGCCTCGTTGTTTTGATCCCAAGTTATGTGTTGCAAAGTCCATTCTTTGGACCAATGTAATGTCACTTGTAACTTGTCCAAGTATCTTTGCATTCGTTCTTCTCTGACCTCGAATATTCCATTAACTTGGTTTACCATAAGGAGGGAGTCGCATTTGGCTTCGATCACCTCTGCCCCCAAGCTTTTTGGCTAGTTCAAGGCCTACAATCATGGCCTCATATTTGGCCTCGTTGGTAGTTAATTTTATAGTCTTAATAGATTGTCTAATTATATTACCTGTTGGTAGCTTCAATACGATGCCAAGTCCGGACCCTTTTGCGTTTGAGGCGCCGTCCGTAAAGAGGGTCCAAATTCTCTAGGAATTTCCTAAGTTAACCAATAACTCTCTTTCGACCTCGGGTATTAGGGTCGGCGTACAGTCGGCCACAAAGTCTGCCAAAATTTGAGACTTAATGGCGGTCCGAGGTCGGTACTCAATATCGTACCCACTTATTTCTACGGCCCATTTGGCCAACATGCCCGAGATTTTGGGCTTATGTATAACATTCCTCAATGGGTAAGTAGTTACGACACATATGGGGTGACACTGGAAGTATGGTTTTAGCTTCCTTGAGGCGCTTAGCAAAGCAAGCGCCAGTGTTTCTAGGTGAGGTTACCTAGTTTCGGCCTCACCAAAGGTTCTACTAACATAGTAAATTTGAAATTGCGTATCTTGCTCTTCCCGAACTAGGACTCCACTTACCGCTATCTCCAAGATCGCCAAGTACAAGTACAGTTGTTCGTCTGTCTTTGGTGTGTGAAGCAGTGACGGGCTCGATAAGTACCTCTTGAGTTCCTCCAAAGCTTGTTGGCATTTCGGGATCCACGAGAAGTTATTCTTCTTCTGTAATAATGCGAAGAATCGGTGGCTCTTGTCGGATGACCTCGAAATAAATCGCCCCAGGGCGGATATGCACCCGGTTAACCTTTGCAAGGCCTTTATGTTGTCCACGACCGTGATATCTTTGATGGATTTGATCTTATCAGGATTTATCTCGATTCCCTGATTGGATACCATGAATCCGAGGAATTTACCCGACCCAACTCCAAACACACATTTTCCCGGGTTCAGCTTCATATTATATTGCTTCAGTATGCTGAAGGTTTCCTGCAAATATTTTAAATGGTCATTTACTCGCAGGGACTTAACTAACACGTCGTTAATGTAAATTTTCATTGATGTTCCTATTTGTTCCTCGAACATTCGATTTACTAGGAGTTGGTATGTGGCATCGACATTTTTTAATCCAAATGACATTACGTTATAACAGTATGTGTCATATATAGTGATGAAGGAAGTTTTTTCCTAATCACTCGGGGTCCATCCGTATTTGGTTGTACCCGAAATAGGCGTCGAGAAATCTGAAGATCTCATGGCCAATTGTGGCATCGATCGTACGATCGATGTTGGGAAAAGGAAAAGAGTCTTTGGGACATGCCTTATTCAAATCTTTGTAATTTACACACATTCTTAGTTTATTACCTTTTTTCGAGACTACCACTACCACCACACAAAATCATCCTTATTGTGGCGACCAAAGTCGCTACAAAATCCCTGAAAGTCGCTGCTACATCTTATAAGTGGCGACATTTGTGTTGTGACAAGCAAAATCATAACTGAAAGGTAGTTGTGTCGACCTCAGAAAGGCGCCGCTAAAAGTGTATATTTTGTGGCGACATAGTTGCCACAAAAGGTAAAAAACCCGCTAGAAAAATGGTTCCACAAGAATAAATATTAGTTGGGTCGCCACTTCTATTCACCTTTAGTGGTGACTACTATCGCTGCCAAAATATTATTTTCAGTGGTAAGTTTATGTCTCTACTATAAATGACTGTTAGTAGCAACTCGCGTCGCCACAAAATAATAAATCATAAAAGACATAATAATTTTCTGTAGCGACAGTGCTTGGCAAATTCTGAGGCACAAGGCAGCTCCTAATCAAGAGTATAAACAAATGTAGACTAAAGGATTGTCATTCAAAATATCATTCTTCTTGTGGAGATTGTGGAGGCTAAAGTTATCTACTGATGATCTATGGAGTAGGCAAGGATATATTCACGTCTCCAGATGCTGGTGTTGCAAACATCCACAGTAGGAGACCCTTGAACACATCTTTCTAACAACCTCCACTGCATCAAAAGTATGGAAAACATTTATGGCAGCTGCTAGAATTATTGTATCACTAGTCCAAATAAAGCAAGTAATTAGAGCATGGTGGAATGTAAAATACTGCCCAAAGTTGAAACCTCTCTTTCAAGCAGCACCAGCAGTCATTACATGGGAACTATGGAAAAAAAGGAATACATGGGAAAAGGGGGGAACAGTCTCTTCTAATCGAGTCATTCATGAGATCAACAAGACAATTCATTACCTAGCAAGAGTTAGGTATCCATGGTTAATACACATTCTTGTGTTATGGCCAGATATGATCCGTTACTTTGAAGCATACAAACCTGTATTGCTCACCAAAAGAGTAACTTGGCAGCCTCTAGATGCAGGATGGTATAAATGTAATACAGATGGGGCATCAAAGGGCAACCCATGTCCTAGTTCAATTGGTTTCTGTGTTAGAAATGAAGTAGGAGATCTAATGTATGCAAAGGCAGATAACATAGGAATGACCACTAATGTTGTAGCTGAAGCAAAAGCAATATATCAAGGGTTGGAATATTGTATGACGCATGACCTTCATCCATTGATATTGGAGACAGATTCTTTGATTTTGAAAAAAGTCATCGAAGGGCAATGGGTGACCCCTTGGTGTATAGGGGCAGAAGTGCAGAAGATTAGTGAATTGAGGGAACACTTTAATGTGATATTTCAACATGTCTATTGAGAAGGCAATACAGTGGCAGATTATATAGCTAATAGTGCTTTCAATTTTGCAGGATCAGCTATATTTTACTCGTTCATAGAGATGACTAGTGAAAGGAGGAAACTACTAAACCTCGATAAGTCTTAAACTCTTAATCTAAGGATTAGAATTGCAAGAAATAAGGCTCCGGATTGATCAGATTTGGCAATAATCATCACAACTGCTTCTTCACAAGAAAGCAGCATCAAGTTATGACAGCACTAACAAGCTCATCCAAAATTGAAAATCAAAGGATCACTGATGGTATAATTCTCGTAATGCCAGAGAGATGCTAAGTGAAATGTACATCATCAGTCAAAACAACTCCTCAACCACAGAAGGAGCAGTCCCTATACAACTCTTCAAGAATATCTATCCTAAACAACTGGACATCCAAGTTCAAGATTGCAGCAGCTGACCTCATAACATACTCTTTATCAATACACATAAGAACCTGGGAAAAGATGTCACTAAAGCCAACATCAAGAATCATAAACTGAGAACTCATCTGGCAATAACTAATTTGTCAATTTTGCAGGTACTCTGTACAAATTCTAATAAGGGTTGCAAGTGCAATGCGGCCAGCATGTTAACTGCTGTCACAGTTATAGCTCAACCAATTTGCCTAGACATACACCAGGGAATATTATTTTTCTTCGGCTGCTGATTAGCCTGACAGTGATCGAGAAGGAACATACATGAGTTCAACCTCTTTACTATGGTGTGTTTTCTTCAGAATATACAATAGCCATGAGATGAAAATGGTATATGCCCCAACAGGAAAACAAAGGTATCATAATTGGTTGCGCGCATCAGCAGATTAATGGACAGACTAAGTTATGCAAGGAGTACATTGAAGATTCATGATAGCCTAACCTTTTTGGTTCGTAAAACATGGCATCTGGTGAGAGCGTTTGAGGTGCTACACAGAGGTTTTGTAATGGGTTACAGGATACATACTACGCCTTTGGCTGGAATCTGTCCAATTAAAACTTTTGTAATCGCTAGAACACTGCTTTTTTACACCTTTTTTTGTGCTTAATTAATTTTTATATACAAACTGGATTCTTATTTTAGATTATTATTTATATATTCACCACAAAGCATCAAGCCGAGTGGTATATTTGCTTCAAAAAAAAAATCTATAGCGACTAAAGTCGCTGCAAAAGAAATAAATCAACAGTGGCAACTTTAACATCGCAACAGTTATTAATTTTTTGTGACAAAATAATGTTGCCACTAAAACATATTTTCTCAAAAACTATAATGACCAAAATTATATACATTTCCAATAGGAACCTAATTCTCTAAATTTTAATATAGGGATTTTCATATCGATTGACAACAAATATTAAAAGCAACCAATAATATTTAAAACACACCAAAAGAATTTTTCAAACAGAATATTATAAATATTTTCATTACTAAAAAGTCAATTACAAATATGACACTTTATTGTGCATTGTAATTGTACGCATATACATATCCCAAAAAAAGACAAAATATTAAATACCTTGTAACTTCTCCTTGGTCGACACCATCCTTGAACGATACCATTGTTTAAGTGCCTTGTCCCTTCTAGACGAAAACAATATGGATTCAATATGTGATAAACTGATGATAGCTGATAAGAGAATATTATCAGTAATTAGTGGAAGGAAGAGTTGGATATTATGGACTCACTATGGTCAAGTTGGCAATAAAGTGATAAAGGTAGGTTTCTTACTTTCTACAACTATGTATAAATTATAATACAACTCTTCCAAAAGAAGGCTTAATCCTTAGCTTAGACGTATAGGTAACTAACCTATTTTCTTTAAAATCTAGTTATACTATATTAAAGTTATATGTTGATCAGCCAACACTACATTAGCTAATAAAAACAAGCTTATAATGACAGAATAGTCTAAACTTCAAACAAGACTGCAATATATATATATATATATATATATAAAAGGATAACAGTAGCGGGTCTACTAAGTTTAAAGATGCTGTGCTTCTTTTTATCTAAAAAGAGTTATTGGACTTTTTGAATGGAAACACACACGTATTTACACATCATAACAAAGAATACCTAACAACCTTTTACCCAAAATAGTCCACAAAAGCCGTTGATCCAGTCCTAACATTCTATTTCTTTCACAGAACATAACAGGTTAAGAAAAATTGACAATGGAAGTTTATGTACAATTAGGATACCTTAGGGAAAATGCGGCTAAATTGAAAACAGGAGACACAATAATCTAGTCATTTGATATTAGCTACAAGATGAAAACAAAGACATCTTTGAAAAAAGAGAATATAGCAGGGAATGACATGTGTTAATCTAAAACTAACGAAATCGCCTTAATACAAAGAAAACACCAGGAGAAATCCTTTCGACACTCTCCAAGAGACTTTACTTCCCAAAGCATTCATGATGAACATAAACCATTGCATGCGACAGAGATATAAACAAAGTACTGGTCCAACCAAAAATAATGAATACAAGACAAATAGAAAATCCCTCCAATTCACATTCATATGTTCAGCTTAATCGATATACTAAGCTTCCACAAACACAGAGACCAGTGAGTGCATAGTGGCTAAGGCCTATCTCCACCTCCTCCTTTCTTTTTCCAAAAACTAACTTTGGCACATTTTGTTACAGAGACCACTAAGCCCAAATAAGACATTTTTCCACCCCTATTTTTTTCCATATGTTTTATTAAGAAATTGTTCATTCGAATTATTAAAAAATATACAATACTTTGAAATGATCTTATATAGTGACTTTCCAAAACTTCCGTATAACAGTTTCAAAGTCCTATGCAACGTGAAAATTGTACCTTTATAGATTAACAAAAATTTCCTAAAATAGATCATATTGCAAATAACCAAAGAGTTTCCACCAAGTAAAATGTATTCCCTGGTTTAATTTTGTATAACGGTGTTTGACTGTGTTCAAGAGAGTATAAAGCTTTGTACCCTGATTAAACTGAACATATGAATTTTCAAAAGTCAGATTTCACAAAAAGCTTTGTACACTGATTAAGCTAAACATAAAGCTATTTCTCTTTTTCCTAGGGAATGTTCAACTCTACTAAATTGTCAAAAGTCAACTTCTAAAAGAGACCAAATATGCAGCGTTCGGCCACACAGGTTGTCTGTGATTGCAGTGGTTATTTAAGGTTTGCTCAAAATACTAAGCAAGCCCAACAGTCTATTAAATCCATATTTTACATAAACAAAAAAAATCCCAATAGTCTATTATCAAGAGGATGAAAGTTAAAGAAGGAGAAGTTGAAAAGAAGATAGGGAGCAAGTGACAGAAGAATTGTCGAGAAAGAAGAATTGTCCAGAAGGAAGGAAGAAGAAATGCTGTGAAGGAAGAAGAATTATTAAGAAGTACCTGTTGCATTCTGGTCATGAAACTAGCAAATTGTTCATGCATCCTCTTGTCCACTTCTAGATGGATCCTCTTGTCTACTTCTACATTTATGTGTTCACGCTCGTCTGCCAACTTCCTTTCCAACTCAATTTCCAGCTTCCTTTGCAACTCAAGTTCTATATATCTTCGCAACTCAGCAGCTATTTGTTCACGTTCTCCTTGCAACTTCCTATCCATCTCAGATTGCATCTCTTGACGCACAATATCCATAGCAGAATACACGCTGGCCTCTATGTTTGCATGCTGAATGTTACACTTTTTAGGAGGCTTCTTTCCGTATCCTTTTCCACGAACATAGCATGTTCTCTCACCAAGAACGGAGTATAAAATCTCATCTCTAGTCATGGGATGCTCGATCTCTTCAGATTGTTGCTGAGCTACAACTTCCTCGAGTTGACTCTACATTTATGCATAATCAATCATTCACATCAAAATATAATAAAACATATTGAATGTAACTTACAGAAACAGAAATATAATAAGTCTACAATATTAGATAATTACATGATTTTATTGGGATAGTGAATCCAACCACACCAGTTCTCCTCTATCATCCTTGCGTGTATGTTGGATCTCCCAAACTCTATCTGGTGTGTCTATTTCTGCAATAATAGGATTTCTCTGCAATATAGTTTCGGAGATAATATATATATATATATNATTTTTACCGTAGATTCTTCTAATTCTGTGGAAGACTTTGTACCACAAGTATGCTTAGTTATTCGCTTTTCTCTATTTCTTTTGTTCCTATCACTTACAACCAGTAAGTCAACAGATTAATAAATCACCATTCAAAGATGTGAATTGTGCCATTTGGTTGGCAGAATCTTTAGGTATTAAGTTAATACCTTAAATTCCTGACTTCTAAAATATTGTATTAGGTATTTTCACTCCTTAAGCTCAACATCTTGAGGTTGATAAGACAATCTTTCTTCATTAGTACTGTACTTAGAGTATACAATGCTGAGTTGAGCTTTCCATGCTCTAAAAATGTGACATGCTAAATTTCTCCGGAACTATATTGCAGAGAAATCCATGCTCTAGGCATATTCAAGAGTACAAAATGTTGAGTCGAGCTTTCCATGATCTAGGCATATTCAAGATTCAATCCCTAATGGCAATTTATGTAGGTGATACGTGAAAAAGGTGACATGCTAAACGTCCTTGTTATTTGGCTGACGAGCATTAGCAAAAGCTGAGAGTTCCTTTTGTTTGTGCTATTGCAGAAATGATTTATATGCAGTTATGCACTAATTCACTACTTCCTGATGCATTAATGCAGATGAAACACAATTCAGTAACACAAGATTTGTTAAAAGCTAATAGTTTATTAGAAATGCATTAGGTTAGGGAAGTAAGCTTTGACAAAAACAGATGTACTACTAAGGTTTCTGAAGTTGAAAAATTTAAAAAGACAAGGCACAGTAAAAACAAGATTAATGTAATCAGATTAAGTTATCAATTTTCAGTTAGAAACCTTGTTCAACTGTAAATGTGTATCCGTTCCATCCACGACCATTGATAATAATACCATCGGGTAAGGGAAGATTATGACCACTATCTAAAATGTACTTCAGTTGCTGCAAGAATCAAATCCCCGTGCAAATTTAGCACCAAAATCATTCAGATAAAATTGAAAAAATAACAACAAATATATTAAGTAAGCCAAACATATGGAACTTACCCCGTGACTTCTCTTGATAAAAGTAGAAAATTTGTACTCTTTTAATTCTTCTTATTATGGTTTATCCTCTGCCCAGAGCATTTGGATTGCATACAAGAATAACACAATAAGACAGTATATATTGTTGAAGATTAGTAAGACACAAAGACAAGGAAATAGATGCATAGGGCAAGGTTAATCACATACTTAGACTACCTCTCAAGCACCGTTAACAATATAGAAAGACCTCTCGAGAACCACTAGAGACTCTAATTTCACCACATCATTCGCAAAGAAGTATTATATTTTCTTATAACCATACAATAACATATGCGTGCCTTATAAAATTAAAAACTGCATGTCTACTGATTTAGGCACATAACCATATAAGAACAAAATAAGAATGGAATGCCGACATGTAAAAGGTCTCTCGAGAAGAAGATTTTAACTTACCCAGGAAAAGAGATAGCTGAGATTCTGTCAAGACCGAGAATTGATAATAACAATACCAAATACGCATCAAATGATTCTTTATATGTGATTTTTTTGTTTTATTCCTGTAGATTATCAAATGTCTCAGAGAAATTCGAGATGAAATCTGAGAATACAAATGTGAAATTGCTGAAAAAATAATTATCCCTAACTGCATGTTGAAAATTTTGTCTTACAGAATCATTATAAGAAAATACCCAAATGTAAATATATCTTATATAAATCTTTATGGGGTTTTAGTTAGATATGAGATAGTAACAAATAAGAAGGAAAGGATGCACGAAATCGATTAGGAACAGAAATTATTTCTTTGATTCTTCCTCCACGAAATCGATTGATTAAAGCGGAGCAACTTCTTTCCCAAAAAGAAAAACGAAAAGAATAGGGATTTGAACATACCTGACAAATGAGATTCAAATTTTGATTTGGGTGAAATATTTGCCGAGGAGAGGACTGATTTCTAGAGAGAGGGATAGAGAGAGTTTTGTGCTTTCTATTCTTTCGCTTTGCGCTTCTGTTCCAGCATACAATGTTTAATTAGGATAGGTATTTTTATTTTTTTTTATTATTTTAAAAGTAAAAACTCTACGGTATAGGAGCGACCCAGTCGCTACAAGAGAAATTTAGCAGCGATTTTCCAAAAGTCGCCACAAAAAATAGGGAGCCAAAATTTTTTGTCTGAGCGGGACTGAAAATTTCAGCCACATCAGAGGCGACCTTAAAAAAGTTGCTGCTAAACATTAACCTTCTGTAGCGACATTTAAAGTCGCTGCTAATAATATAGATGTTGTAGCAACCGATAGGGTCGCTACTATATGTTGCCACTAATAATCCAATTTCTTGTATGTTGATCTCCGTTGGGATCCCTGTCATGTCAAGGTGGGATCAAGCGAAACAATCTTCGTTAGTTATAAAAAATTGAATGAGTTTTTCCCTAATCTTGGAGGTTAACCCCATGCCCAGGTATACCTTTTGATCGGGCCAGCGTTCTCGCAATATGACTTGTTCCAGCTCCTCGACCGTCGATTTAGTTTGGTCGGAATCATCGGGGGCTATAAATGAACTGGGAACCCTATAATCATCATCTTTGCCTTCCTTTTGTTTGTCCGAATCTGCCGAGGATGGTATGAGTGATTTCTATTTGGCCCCGTTTTTGACCATCTGGTTTGGATCCATTGATGTTGACACTATGGACGCTGGTATCACTTCCTCGACCGCGAACATTTCCTTTGCAGGTGGTTGTTCCCCGTAAACCATTTGACTCCGCTAGGTTTTGGAAATTTCAATGCCTGGTGTAGTGTCGAGGGCACCACCCTCATGTTGCGGATCCACGGCCTTCCGAATAAAATGTTGTACCTCATGTCTCCTTCGATCACATAAAATTTAGTTTCCTGGATGGTCCCGACGGTGTTTACTGGTAACATTATTTCGCCCTTAGTGGTCTCATATGCCATGTTGAATCCGTTTAGGACCAAATCGATCTGCTCCATGACCCTCGACCGAATTATATTGGCCGAGCTACCTGGATCAATTAACACATGTTTAACCCAAATTTATTCCGCATCCTCGTCGCTGAATGATAAAGGTCCTTCTGGTATGTAGTCTCGAGTTCGTTTCTCCCTAGTGATAGATAGTTTGGTGCGTTTCAACATCGGCCCCTGTGGAACATCAACCCCACCGATGATCATATTAATGACATGTTGAGGTTCTTCTTGTTCTGCTTGTTTGTTAGAATGCTTATTCCTGAAATGATTCATGGCTCGGTCGCTCAAGAATTCTCAAAGGTGCCCATTGTTGAATAGTCGGGCTACTTCCTCTCTCAGCTGTCGACAATCTTCCGTTCTGTGACCGTGAGTGCCATGATATTTGCATATCTAGTTAGGATCCCTTTCGGTTGGATCAAATTGTAGAGGACGAGGTCAATTGGTATCTTTGATGCACACGATAGCGGATACAATAGCGGCGGCATCGACATTAAAGTTGTATTCCGATAGCCTCGGCACTTCTTTAGGCCCGATGGACCTGTCGAAGCCATATTTGGTCATGAGTCCCCGATTGCTTTGACCTTGGTCATTTCTCCTTTCATTTCTCATGGAGTTTTGCCTAGACCCACTGCCTCTCCGATCCCCATGATATGGCTAGTACCAATCCCAGTTTGGCTTCGATTCATGATTGGTATGTCTCTTGAATCTATCGAGGGCTCTGACGGGATAGACAGACCCCGAAGGGGCCCCAAGTTGATCATCTTTGACTTTGATTTTCGACTGATACCGGTTATGCACATCGGCCCTTGTAATGGCCGGGTATTCTATCAGGTTCTGCTTCAGCTACTGTTAAGACACCGAGCTTTGAATATTGAGTCCCTGAGTGAAATCTTGAACAACCCAATCATCAGCGACCGACGACAGATCCATTTGTTCCATTTGAAATCCGGATACGAATTCCCCGAGCATCTCGTTATCCCTCTGTTTGACTTTGAAAAGGTCTGATTTCCTAGTCTCGACCTTGATGGCACCAACATGCGCTTTTACGAAAGAGACTGTAAGCATAGAAAATGATTCAATAGAATTAGGAGATAAGTTGTGATACCATATCATAGCTCTCTTTGACAGGGTCTCCCCAAATTTGTTCAGCATAACAGACTCAATCTTGTCGTCCTCCAAGTTGTTCCCTTTGATGGCACATGTATAAGAGGTCACATGCTCGTTTGGGTCGGTCGTTCTGTTATACTAAGGTATTTCGAGCATACAAAATTTTATGGGGATCGGCTTCGGAGCCGCACTAGGAGGAAAAGGTTTTTGCACGAACTTCCTGGAATCCAGTCCTTTCAATATGAGAGGTTCTCTTGGGATTCGGTCTACCTTGGAGTTGTAGGTCTCCACCATTTTGTTGTTAGCTTCATTTTTTTCTCACCTGATTCTATCCGCTTTGTCAGCTCCTCAAGCATCTTTATAATCTCGGTTTTAGCCCTCGATTCATGTTTATTTGACCTTTCTATGACCGGTTCATCCCTACGGATGACTTGCCACGATGGATCGGGCTTAACCCTGCTCAGTGCACGGCTATGGTTCTGTAATTGAGCTATCGCCGCCTATTAAGCCTGCAGCATTTCGAAGATCACCCGTAGATTGATCCCATCTCCTTCAACATTTTGTGTGTTTCGAGTTGTCGATCGGGCTCCATCACGAATGCTATTTTCGGGATAGGTAGGCAAGTTTGCATTGATAGCCACATGTGAATTAGCGGCAATCGGGTCTGCGATCGGAATTCCAATAGGATCAGTATGTGCTACCTCGTTTCCAGGTGATATGTTGTTATTTTCACCTTGATGACCGAACTCATTGTCAACATGCGAAAGTTACCATGGAATAGTCCGGGTCTATTGGTGTCAGAGAATCGCACCCCACGTAGTTTTCCAAAGATGCTGGGTTTAAGAAGAACGACGAACTGGTTTGCCTGAAGAAATCATACATCCTCTTTGAATTTCTCTATGAGCGGTGTGGGCATAGCAAATCAGATCGCCTACATCATGAGGAGCTATCCATTACTTCTTTGGGATGGGTGCACCGCCGGGTCTATGTCTTCATAGTTTGTTTCTTGGGTTTGTTAATCTTTCCAATGCAAGGGGGAAGAATTCAGACTTGCTTAGCCATGGTTGCAAGGACCTTAATGGAGGGTATCGAGGGGCAGACATACACTATCATCCCGATGATCTTAGCTGAGATGTACAGTGCTCTAGATCGGTGCAAGCATGGGTTCGGACATTTTGAGGGTTCTAATCTCTTGCTACAACTTTGGCTGCTGGAACACTTTCAGAAGGGTGATTATCGCCAGGAGCTTCTATGCATGCCATTGAATGACTACATAGCAGTCATCATCCAAAGAAGATGACATTCATTCCAGACAGATTTGCAAAACCTAGAAATGTTGTAGGTTGTGTGCGTTTATTTATTATTATGACAGATGAGCAAGTGCATTGGATGTTTGAGTGGTTTCCTTGTTGTGAGTTCATCATCAGGTCCAAAGGAACCACTCACTTGGTATTGATTGGGCTGTGAGGCATCTACCCTTACGCTCCTATAAGGGTAATGAGACAAGCTGGGAGGAAACAAGTCATCCCTCGGGTTTCCAATATTATTCAGTATAAATCTGATTTCAAAGGTGATGTCATCCCATTCAAGTTTGAGCCAGACAAGTATCACACTGGTCATATGTACTACTATCTCTCATGGTTAGAAGACGACATAGCCGGGGACGTCAAACCGGGGATCAATCTGATAGATAGGATCATAGAAGACATGGCTGAGGCACATGTGAAGTACAAGAGGCTATGTACAAGAGTGTTCGAATCTGAAGCAAAGCATCTAAAACAACATAAGGTGGACATGGAGGCGATCACCGAATGGAAGGAGATTGCAAATAAGTCGACAGAGAGGTTGGAGCATCTAGAGCAAGGACTGATGGAGATAGAGGGGAAGATTAGAAAGAGACTTTAGGATTGTCAAGGCATGAATAATGATGAAGGAAGGAAGCTGGCAATGGCTTACTTGCTACTCCACATGCGCGATCTGGAAAATGTGATTGATGGAGTCAAAAGAGCCAAGCATAGAAAAGGTCCTTCGGGTACCAAGTAGACTAGGAGATAATGTTCTTTCCTACTTTCTATATTAGATTTCGTTAGATTTCAATGTAATAAGGCTTAATGCCATTAGTGACTTTATAATTATTATTTCGATTTAGTGAAAGATCGATTTGGCTTATTTTCGCATTAATGGAATGAGGCAACGTTGGCATGAATTTTCTCCAAGTCTGTGTCGCTTAGGCCTACCTCAGGCACAATGAGGTCCCCAAATTAGGACGCGAATTATTGCATGACCTTACGTTATACCTTCTTAAATATTGCAAACACTGTTTTACTTCGTCTTACTGACTTGGTTACCTTTTGTTTTTCTTTCTTTTGATTACTACCATACCCAAAGGTTGGTTCGTGCATTCTGGCATTATCATCATTCCACACCAGATCCAGAGGTCCTCTACCTAGCGACCCGATAAGCAAAGGCAAAGGCAAAGGCAAAGGGAAGATGGATGATCTAAGTGGTAACTAAAAAGATAATGCTACCATGGCAGAGAATGTTGAAACCTTGGACGGAAGAAGTACGCTAGGTCAGAATGACTTGATCCTACATTTGGAACAGATAATCTTGGAGCTACAAGATGAGCTTGAGTAGGTCTGAAATCTCGCAAACCTCTCCCTTAATCTAAATTTTCCTGACATCAACCAGCAAACCACAACCACTCAGAACCAACCACCACCACAAAACACCTAAGACTAAAATCCACCACCCATAAATCCGCAAAATCCTCCTACAACACACCAGTATCACAATCCCGCACCTCCTCAAAACCTTAACCCGCCTGCAGTGCAAACCCCTCAACAACACCATCATCACCCAACCTAGTATCCGCAAACCACCACTTATCACACCCCT